GGGCCATGTGGCAAGGAATGAGAATGGCCTCTAGGAGCTGAGAATAGTTCCTGGCTGACAGCCAGCAAGGAAATAGAGACCTCAGTCCTACAACCACAAGGAATTGAATCCTGCCACAACCACATAAGCTTGAAAGAGTATCTTGAGCTCCAGGTGTGAATGCAGTCTGGCCAAGACACTGATTTAAGCCTTGTGAGAAACTGAGCAAAGAGCCCAGCCATGCCATGTCCAAACCTCTGCCCTACAGAACTGTGTGCTAAAAAATGGGTTTTGTTTTAAACTGCTTAATCTGTGGTAGTTTTAAGCAGCAACAGAAAACCAATACAAACAGTGTCAAGAAATCTTGATTTGAAACCTTAAGACAATATTTTTTTTATGATATAATGTTAGAATGCTTATTTAGAAGCATGGTTTTGTTCACTTAAACTGTATTTGTCATAGCAGGTTGATTATACACACTAACATTGGGATAATTAATCTGCTCCTAATTAACTCAACCATTAAAAACATCAACATTATTACTCAGAATTAGGAACATAAGTAAAAGTAACCCTTTTGTAAACATATCTTTGACAATTAAAATAAATAACTCTAGGAAATTAACTTTAAAACACAGTTCAGGAATCTTGATTTTCTTTGATATTACACCCGATATTCTAACTGTGTACTGGATCTTCCCCCTCTCCCTTCCCCAAAGGCCTTTTATTTTTTATCTCATCTGTCTTCTGTTTCCCCAACATTTTTCTTCCTTCCCTTTGCTTCCTCCCTACCTCCCAGCTTCCCTCCCTCCATCCTTCTCTCCTAGATCTTCCCCATGATCATTTAAACATCTCATCTAAGAAAAAAGAAAGAAAGAAAGAAGTGAAACATCATGAGACCTCTTTCCCTCTCTGGCTCTTCTTCATCCTCCCATTCACAGATAAGCAAGTTGATGACATTTGCTGCCGCCTCTAATTTACCATTATCTAGTCACTTAACTCATGCTCATCTAGCTTGCAAGTCACTCCTCAGAGAAACGATTCTCCTTGCTTTCACCAAAGAGCTCCAAATCCTCCAATTAAATGGGCCTCTTTCTCATCTTATTTGATTCTCCACAGTATTTTACCCTGTAACCACTCTTCCCTGTGACTCCTCATTCTTCTTCTTTCACCTACATCCAACTCCTTCAACTGTCTCTTCTGCTCACCTTCCTTTTACAGACTCATTCCCAGGCTCATTGTTTTCTCATTCTTTCTAGTGATTTCATCCTAATACATGGCTTATATCACCATCTATATTCTAAAGACTAAAGCATTTACCTTCAGTTCACACTCCTCATTTGGGTCTAAACACAAATTTCAAACATTTCTATTTGTATTCCTTAAAGGTTCCTCAATTACTAGTTTATGACCTTCATTCCCATAATCCCATCTCACTTTCTCCCCAAATTAGCTCTCTTCTAGTCAACAGTAGTTTTATCCTGGTGATTCCTTCTGCAGATAGTATTCTGCCCCCTTGTCTTCCCACAATGAACTCCTTTTCAGTCAGATCACTTTCTTTCAGATCACACATGCTAACATAGCTATCTAGTCACATTCCCTATATAACATTATTCTGCTGTAATTTTAGGGTAACATTCCTCACTATGCCATTTTTCTTGTCTGTTTATGGTTTCTTTCCTCCCATGAGAACGTGGCCCATTTTTATCTTGGTTCCTATTCATCTCCAGAATGTAGCATATAATAGGTGCTTCATTAATGCTCTTTGCGTGAATAAGGAAATTGCTCAAGCTGCAAGCCCCAGTTATCCCGGAGATCTTCTTTTCTTTTCCTACCATATCCAAACCACCATCAAGTGTCTATGTTTTATCATATTTATCAAATCTATTCATTTCTCTCCATCTCTAATGCCACCCATGATTTCTGTGCATCCAATCTTGCTTTTCAAATCTCTACTCTTTTCAGCAATCCACAGTACCTTTCCTGAAAACTAATATGGTCATGATACTTCCCCACTTAAAATTATTCAAAGCTTCCCATTTTTCTTAAGAAAATCATTCAAAGTCTTAAACCACAAAATGGAATTATTTAACCCTAGCCATTCTTTCCAACCTCATCCAGTACCCTTTTTTTCTGGTATTGAAAAATACCAGTGTCCTTCCTCCCACCACCATCCTAATATTCACTCTGTCTGCGCTGTGGTCGAGTTTGGCATCACTCATGTGAAAGGTCCACAGGTGATTCTAATGTGCAGCCAGTATTGAAAACCACATCTACCCCTTTTACTAGACCTACATTAACTACTATTCATTTTTCAAATTTTGATTCAAAGTTTATTTCTTTAATTTCACTTCTTCCCTTTCTTCTGGTCTTCCCTCACCCTCCAGACTAGATCGTTGCCCTTGTTATAAGCCATTCTAGCACCATTAACTTTTTTTTAAGCTCACATCACAATTTGAAATTATGAACGGTATCTTCATAAGGAAGAATTTTAAACATTATATCAATAAATAGAGATTAAAAGTCACCTTTCAATCAGAATAGCTATATTCTGCAAAGCCACTTAAGTACTTTCTTAGTTATCCAACTATTACTCAAGTGGAAAGAGTGTAATAAGACTTTTATTTATTTTTTTTTAATTTGCAGCACTTTCCCTTGCTTGAGTAGGCAGAGTTCCTTAGAGAGTTTTGGATCAAATTTCATAAGGCTTCTAGGCCCTTTTTGGAGGGAAGATATGCAAATGCCTCAACTCTGCTTCAGAATGAATAACATCTATTCTGGAGAACTGGGATAGCCTTCACTCTTTTCATTGCCAGGAAAAGAAGTCATTTGCCTCAATGGGGAAGTAAATGGGAGGAAAGAGGAAGTAGACACTGGTAACTTGTGCTCAACACAATGGCTACAGTTTGTGGGGATGGTCGATTCCTGTGAAATGGGCAGTTGAGAATACATCTCCTGGCCAGCTGTCTTGGCACTCTCTTGAATTATGGGAACCAAATCCTAAGCATGTAAATGTGAACTAAAAGAGTTGTAATTGTGGAACCTAGAATTAAAAACCTCTTTGTCCAGGAACAACATACACATAGGGAAACTGTCTTGTTGAGAGCCAATCTAGACAAAAAATGAAAAAACAAAACAAAAACATCTGTTAGCAGTGACTGAAGACTGAGAGCTCAAGAATGAATGGCCTTCCCTTTAAAAGCAGAACAGGACCCCTTTCAGCTGAATAACATCCAGTATTATTCTTGGGAAAAATCTGGAGGAACAAGGGAGAGGAATACTCAAAAGAGAATCTGGACATTCCACCAAGAAAATTAGGTGGAGATTGTGAGCCCAGTCATACCTCTTTTACAATTAAACAATATTCATGACTGACTCCTACACAGAATGTAAGTTTGGTGAAGCCAGGGATGTGGTCTACTTTACTCATTGGTTCCCCAACTGCTTGCACGGTACCTGTCAAAATTATTTGCTGAATTAATAAATAATGGGAGATATGTTGGCAAAATAACTACCAGTATTATAATAGAATGTACACAGAAACTGCTCTGGGAACAGATGAGGAAGTGATTGATTCTGTTTATGTATGGAGGGGAAATCAAATGAACAAAAGCCTATCACAAGACTGAGTTCATCAGATTTTTTCAATAAATACTTCTTGATTCAATTAGTCACCAGTGATATGGATATTCTGGGTTAAAATTCCCAGAAGAGGCATAAAAAAGGAAACACAACTAAAGGAGTCAATAGAAATTGAGATCAGAATTCCACTTGCCCAATTCTGTAACACTAGACAGCATGTAAAGAAATCCTTACCTTGTAAAGAGTCAAGGCATTTTATGCTTGTCATTTTATACATATTAAGAGTTTCAATAAATATAAATGGATAAGTTTTTTGAGGGCCACCTCAAGTTATAGTTCAGTATTTTTTAATGCGTGTTCCTCAGAAAACAAATCATAGGAGAAATCCCTCAGGGGAAAAAAAGAGGGGGTTCCAATATCATATCTAAGTATCTGTGAGTACTCTATTTCATTGATAAAGCTTATTAGCAGATTATCTAGATCTGAATGAAAAGGAGTCATTTACTGGCCATTTTAATAGGTGTGTAGTGGTATCTTGTTGGTTTTTTTTTTTTGTTTTTGCTGAGGAAGATTTGCCCTCAACCAACATTCATGCCAATCTTCCTCTATTTTTTAGTATGTGGGCCTCCAGCACAGCATGGCCACTAACAGAGCAGTGTAGGTCCGTGCCTGGAACTGAACCTGGGCCATCAAAGCAGAGCATGCTGAACTTAACCACTAGGCCACCAGGGCTGGCCCTGGTATCTTGTATTTTTAATTTTCATTTTCCTGATGACATATGATGTGGACATCTTTTCACATGCTTATTTGCCATCTGTATATCTTCTTTGGTGAGGTGTCTATTAAGATCTTTGGCCCGTTTTTTAACTGGGTTGTTTGTTTTCTTATCATTGATTTTTAAAAGTTCTTTGTATATCTTGGGTAACAGTCCTTTATCAGATGCATCTTTTGTGAATATTTCTCCCAGTCTGTGGCTTGTCTTCTCATTCTCTTTTGTGGGGGCAGGGGGTACATGGGAAATCTATGTACCTTCCTCTCAATTTTGCTGTGATCCTAAAACTGCTCTAAAAAATTAAAGCATAAAAGAAAAAGGATTGGGAAGAAAATGAATCATAGTTCCAGTATTAAAAGCCAGACATTAACAGTTTGGCAAACTCTTTTTTTTCAACATTTAGTTTTTCTTTTCAAAGGGTTTTGTACTTTACATAGGTATAATCATTCCTCCCTCAATTTTTAAAATTGTAAAAATAGTTATGCCCTTTGAAAAATATTTAAATTTATAGAAATGTATAGAGTAAAAAAGGAATACATAATTTAAATGGGACTATACATATGTATTTCTTTTACATTTGGGAGAAAATAACTGCACATTTTATAAAGCCATGTGCTATACACTTTCCATACTAAAATATAAGCGATCATATCTCTTCCAGCACCTACCTCCTTCTCCAACATCAAGCCTTCTGCTCTGAGGTTCTTTTCAAATGTGTTTCTTTTGTCATATTGTATATTTGACTTTCTATAAACCAGGATGTAATCAATCCGCTTTTTGCCATCTTTGAACAGAAGTCCACTGGATGCTATGTAATTCATGTCATTCTGCAAATAAAGCAGTGATTGTTAATAGTGTAGGTTACATAAGCACACACATTTTGGTTTCAGTCACTTTCGTTTGGATACTGGCAATCCAATATCAAAAAATGAGATATGGAAAGATAAGATACGGAAAGATGATTTTAAAAGTTTGCAATCTACTATAGGAGGCAAGCTAGCAAGTGATGTTCCAGGATTTGAAATCAGGCAGTCTGATACCAGAACCTGGGTTCTCTGATGCTGGCATCAAAATGCATATGTTTTCTTCAATAAGGTCCTATAAAAATCACTGTAGCTAACATAAATTGAGTATTTACTCAACATCAGGTCCAGACATAGGTGCTTTACATGTCTTTTCTTACGTAATACTCACAACTTGTATTTGACAGATAAAGACACTAAGACTTAAACAATATAGGTACTGAGAACCGAAACCAACATAATTTCCTATATTAAATGATGCTCAGACCAGACATTATTTTCCTAAACCTGTGATCAACAACATTAAACTAAACAATACTTCTTTAACTGCTTGCTCCAAGAAATACTTGCTCCCAGGATATAAGACTATATCCAACTAAAACAGCTTACTCACCAAAACCAATTGCTCGCTTTATCAAGATTGCTTTAAGGCCCTCCCCTTGCTGTGCCCACCCGTTCCAGCTGTTTTTCACAGACTTTGCCCAATTTTCAACCAAATTTCTGCCATGCAAAGCTTACCTTAAAATCTCTCAGCCCAAGTCCCAGAACACTTTGAAAACTCTTCCCTAACTTTGCCTTTTTGAAACACTACTAAGACTGCCCAGATGATATCCTTATTTGCTGTAACTTTAATAAAATCAGCTTTACTGATCAACAGATTTTCACGATGGTCTTCTTAGAGGGGGCGCTTTACCAGTATATTGCCCAAGATCACTGAAGAGCCAGGACTTGAATCCAATTTTGACTCCAGATCCGTGTTCTTATCTATTATATACGTTATCCTTCTTTCCCCACATTTTCTATCAAACTATTTGAACATCTGCACCAACTCTCTGTTCTATTTTTCCCATACAGGCATTTGAGATTCAAAAAATTTCCTAACATTTGGAGAGCTATTTGATAATTTCAGACAAAGGCATCTCAGACCTCTTTGGAGGAGACTGCTTGGGACATGCACACAGCTAAAAGTAAAAGAAGGCAGGACCAGAGTAACCTGGTGGCCAAGGAGATAAAGGCCAAGGAGTCATCCAGGTGAAGCAACAAAAAAGATACCTGAGAGACTGTCATCCGACAGGGACAGGTTAGGTTGCCTCAGGAGCTCTTGCCTTTTAGAGAGCATAGGTTCAAGTGTGTGAATTCAGAGTACTAGAGACTTCCAGGCTCAAGGACAAGAAGGCTTTGCACAACCTTTTCTTCAAAGAGTTAAAAAGTTTTGAGATTTCCAGGATTATTTTATTGGGTACCACAAAGGGGCTAAGTAACCAACTTCAAAGGAGTTACCAAAACTTTGTAGTTGCATAATAATAACAATGACAATAATAGCTATCACTAATTGATCACTTACTATGTGCCAGGAAATGTGCCAAATGCTTTACAAGGGCAGTTGATTTAATTCTCACAACCCTTTAAGGTAGCTACTGACATGAGAACACAGAAGCTAAAGAGGTTAAGTGACATCGCTGATGTCATGGAAAAGGCAATGGTGAAGCCAGAACTCTTGCCTATTTGATATTATGTGGTCTTGACAACTATATTAAAAAAGACAAAGACGCATATACAAGTACACATTACTAGGACCAGGGCTTGAGAAGTTACAGAAGGCTAACCAAAAAAAGGCCATTTACAGCTCTTACATGATGGAGATACTGAGGATTTATGGCCACAGAAGACACAGTTAAGTTCAGACTTCAGAGTGCTTTTGCCTCCACCACTCCAGAGACTTCTCTGGTCAAGGTCACCAATGACATACTCATTGCTATATCCAACTATCAATTTTCTATCCTCTTCTTATTTTACGTTTCAGTAGTTGAAGCCCTCACTCCTCCTTAAAACACTATTTTCCTTTGACTCCTCAGATGTCTCATTTATTTGGATTTTCTCCTACTTAAATGATTACTTATTCTCAGCTTCTAATGGTTCCTCTCTTCCTCTGACTTGTTCATGGACCAGTCATTGGTTCTCTTGCCTTCTTTTTTTTTGTTGTTTTTTCAGATTTATATATTCATTTATTTATTTATTTTCCCCCCAAAGCCCCAGTAGATAGTTATACGTCATAGCTGCACATCCTTCTAGTTGCTGTATGTGGGCCACGGCCTCAGTATGGCCGGAGAAGCGGTGTGTCGGTATGCGCCGGGGATCCGAACTCGGGCCCGCCAGCAGCAGAGCGTGCGCACTTAACTGCTAAGCTATGGGGCTGGCCCATCTCTTGCCTTCTTTATCTATATCCCCTTCCTTGTGATTCTATCCAGTCTTGTGGCTTTAAATAACCATCTCTATGCTGACAACTACATAATTAATATTCACAGGCTTGTGGATCCAACTGCCTTGTTGATTTCTTCACTTGGATGTCTAATGGACATCTCAAAGTTGACTGTCCAAAACAGAATTCCTTATTTTCTCCAAGCAAGTGTTTCCCAAAACCTTCTTTATGCTGGTTGATTGCAACTCTAACCTTTCAATTTCTTAGATCAAAAGTCTCGAGTTATTTTTGTTTCCTTTCTTTTCTACCCACCTAACGTTCAAATCATCAGGAAGTTCCTCAAAAATATATCTAGAATCTGGCCACTTTCTAACACCTTCATTACTACTACTCTGGTCTCTGCCATATCATCTCTTGACTGAATGAACGCAACAGCCTGCCTCCTCTCCTGGCGTCAACCTTGGCTCCTCTACAGTCTGTTCTCAACACGACAACTGAGAACCCTGAGTGATCCTTCATGTTATACACTACATCATGTAACTCCTCTCCTCAAGATCCTCCAATTGCTTTCCATGATCCTCCACTCTTGATCCTACTGTCCCTAATCTGTTTCCCCCTAGCACTTGTTAACTTCCAACACTAAAAAATTTATTTCTTAATTATCTTTCATTTACTGTTTGCCTTATTCTACTAGAATATAAATTTTACGAAGGTAAGAATTTTTTACTGTTTTGTTCACAGAGTATTTCAAGCATCAAACCCAGGGCCAGACACATAGTAGGCATCAATAAATATCTGTGGGAAGAAGGAAGAAAGGAAGGAAAGGAGGGAGAAAGGCAGGGAGTATCCACAGTCCTGTGTATCCAGGTAGGGCTAACCTCAAAAACATAAGGCCAAGAAAATACCACATGGTCATTTCTCATCCTCTTCCCTCCAATGTTTACAAAAAATCAGATTATAACAGGTTAAGAGGAATAATCACCAAATTGTAACAAAACCGCAATTGCCATGGCTTGCCCTGTTTTATACCTACGACCCACCGCCTCCAGGCATCGCCATGCTAATCTAAACAAGGATTGGGCTAAAATGAAATCACATACAAATTTTCCTCTGCATTTCCTTTTGCATAAAATATACCACCCTCTCCAGGCCAGGATTAAGTATCCCCTGAGTCTTATAGCACTAATAACATATTTAATCCCACGTGAAGGCAGAAGTCCTTTAATAAGAAGACCCAGAAATCAAATGATTGGTTGGTAGAAAAACTATGAGAAGACAAGATAGTGTTTAATAGATTTTATGTGCTTTTCATATTTTAAGAGCAGCATGGCCTGAAAGTGGAACCCTGAGAGTCACTCTTATTTATTACTCTAAGTCTAAGCAAAATAAATGTTAAACTCTCCCAGAGAAACAGCAGCCTTACTATTAAAAAGAAACTACATCTTTTTTACAATAAGTGACCTTAGGCATTATTCATAAGCTTTGTCTCTCTCTAAGTAAATATGTTCACAATAAAACTCTATTAACTAGCATTCTAATTTATTATCTAATTATTCTATCAATTCTAAATTATTAACGATGAGTTTTACTCGTTTTACCAGGCACAATGAAAAGTAGTTATCAAAATGGTAATAGAAAAGCACAATAATATTTGGAAATCTCTTCCGAATCATATTTAAAGAATGTAATATATATTCTATATAATTTTAAGGTTGAGTATTAGGTTTTATTTTAATACATATATGGCAACTATTAACCAAGATGTTGATTAACTTATGTTCAAATCTGTTGCTTAATTGAAGAGTTGACAGGAAATTTATTACATATATCATTGTACCTAGACACCAAAAGAACAACTTCTTTAATTATTTGATACAACAATGGTTGTCCAAACACAAAGTCAAGACTCATCTCTCGAGTTACCTGAAATAGTGAAATACTTTCCAATTACAGTGTGGAATGCATTCAATTTAGAATCTGGTTTTTCATATTGATTATTCCCAGAAAACAGACTAAAACAATATTTTCTCAGAAAAGCTAGGATGCAGATCATCCGTCAGGTACCTAATCTTTAAACGGTTTTGAAACAACTTAATTATTTAATGCACTGCAAACCATGAAGATCAGGTACTTTCAGAAAGCTGATCTTCCTAAAGAATATCTCGAGAATATGCATGTTATGGCTCATGTTGATAAGGAACCCTCTGGAAAGATTTTAGCCCATTTGCAAAACAGCAACACAAGTCTACTATTCGCATGAGAACACGTTTCAGGCTATTCTTCAAATAAAATTATGGCTAACTGCTTGTTTGTGAGTTGTACATTTTTTTCTAGCATTTATTCTTCTAAATCTAACAAGCATTTATTGAACACCTAATGTGTGCTAGGTTCTGTGCTAAACTCTAGGGATAAAAATAAGAATAAACTGGGGCTGGCCCGGTGGCATAGTGGTTAAGTTCGCACACTCTGCTTCAGTGGCATGGGGTGCGCAGGTTTGGATGCCAGGCGTGGACCTATGCACCGCTTCTCAAGCCATGCTGTGGCAGGCGTCCCACATATAAAGCAGGGGAAGATGGGCATGGATGTTAGCCCAGAGCCAATCTTC